AAAATTTAAAAATTTAAAAAGTTACTTCCTTTGGCCATACAATTACCATCCCTAATTCTTCTGCCTCAAATTGGATTGGCCTCCACAATAACTTTACCATTGCCTTCCAACAACTAGATTATGATGCCACCAATGAGACTGTAAACTGGGGTAGTATAATAAGGAAGGAACCCAAACTTTATTGGCTGATCAATGGTACTTATGAACCCAATATGGCCATCCCAGGTAATATTCCAATCTTTATAAATGACTCATGGCACATAATGGTGCACATGAGTCCTAAGTACTATCAGCTAAGGAAACTATATTATTATTTTAGTATGTACAATACATTCCTCCCTAAAGTAGAATATATGAATATGTTGTTTCATTATGAACAGGTCAATATGACCATGTATGCCTGGGCACCTCATGGTGATAAATACAGACATATTGGTGATATCGTGGGCCATGAGGACTCAGACTGTGAATTAGAAGTGATATCATCAGGGTGCATATATACCCTCCCAGATCATTGACCATACTTCTTTTCAGGAATTCCCTCTTCCCCTTAATATACATGTCAACTCTACCAGTCCTCTTAAGTATAACTATACTTCTCTTTTACAAAGTAGAGCCAATAGGACTGAATACTACTGGAATGGAACTGCAATTACAGATTACATACTACCCATTTTGAAGACCCATTTTGAAGGCTTCATCATGACCCATTGCAAGGACATCACCAACAATATCAAACCTCTCTACAACATCTCGGAGGCATCCAATAGAACCATACGCTGGTGGCATACCGCTAGAATGCAGTTTGGTGAGGGCAGCCATATCCACACCCACACTGGTGTACCTTACAATTTCTATATGCTATTACCAACTAATGAGCAATGGGGCATTGTGGACTTTACAACACAGAGGACATATTTTGGTGAAAATCCCAAAGATGGCCACTATCCCATTGATTGGGATCAAATGCACATATTTCCAGCCTCTTTTCATAGCTGTCATATTTGTGACTTCTCAGATACACCATGCATTATGGACCTAGGAGGCTTTAATGAAATTCATAGATTCCTTTCAGTACATTACAGACCATAAGTACTCTTTGCTCCTAAAATGAATGCATCCAAGGTAGAGATATTACATCCACTGTTGGTACACCCTATCTTCTCCACAGGTTTTAGTGTTCTATCCAACCACAGAATTAGGGAAATTACCATGACCCTTAATCTTCAAGCACTGGCACCATCGCCTTTTATCTGCCCCAACGTTAAGATTCCTGCCTTTATTTATGGAACTAGTGTTCATGCCAGGAAACTGTTACAACTAGCAGCCAGGGCAGCATTTTTCCTAGGTGTCACTCTTGCATCTACCATCACCGCATCCCTGACAGCACCTCTCTATGTTGCCATTGAGGATTTCAAAAAAGTGACAGTCAAGCAGATACAAACCATCCATGCTCTATCAGATGGACTTACTATTCTTAACTACATTGTTCAGAATATGCATTTGGAAATGCTTGCAATTGAAAAATGCATTGGTAAGATAGAGCAGCATAACTTAGAAACGTTCCAGAAAATGTATACTGAGACCTTGAAAAATGCACAAGCTATCCAGTGCCTTCACACTGCACAAACCCTAGACACTGCAATGAATGACCTTCATACCCTATTCATCACTGGTCAAGGTTGGGAAACACGAACATTGAAGACCATCATGGACAATAGATATCACTCTGAATGCTCTAGTGGTATCTGCATTATATATCTCCTGCAAATATTCCTCAACAATGCTAAGACAGCTCACTTCACTACCACTATCCCAAGGAAGTTGGGCGATATTTATGTAACTTCACATACCCAGCTACTCTACATCAGTGACACCAAGGCTTTCTATTATCCACAGGACAGAATGATACCAATCACTCAAGGACTGTATGTTTTGACTGAGCCATTAAAACATGAACTTAATGAATGTTTTATGATGAATGAACTCATCCCAACAAGATTGGCTGACACTGTACAGGCTTTGGGTCACAACAACTTTGTAGTATGTTCAGCAGACAACATGACAGTTGAAGTTTTCTTTAAAAATTGGAATTTTTCCAACTGGGGACTCATAGGCTTTGATTCCTTCAAAGTAAGACTAAACAATGGATGTTCTCTCATTCGTAGCCCATACAAACTAAATGTCACCTTTACCCATATGCTGAACAGGTATTTCAATACAACTTCTTATTCTAGACAAGTTTGGGACAAAATTCACTATGAAGCACGACATTACTTTTCAATATCCAAGCGCATCACTCCAGACATCATAAGCAGAGACCTACTTGCAGCAGAACAAGCTGAAGAACAATTGAACACACCAGACTGATACATCCAAGAAAATGCACAAGTTTTCCAGTCTATGCACGCACAGATTCAGAAGCAATTTAAACACATGGATGCCAAACTGGAAACTCTACATAAGATAGTCCATATTGTGGAAACAGATACCTTTGCATTAGCTCATTCCAATTACAAACCCATGCACTGTGGAATACACTGCACTCTTATGAAATTGTACGCTTGAATGTGATTTGTATTTGGCATTTTAATCTTTGGCATTGGCTTCAAGATCTGTGGCACCATGCAATTTTGTTGCTAGTGTTAATAATTGCTATTAAACTCCTACTTGCATATTGCAGGTTCAGAGAAAAGAAAGTCTTAAAGGAAACCACGTGGAAGATTCATACAACAGATTGTGGCCTCTCGCTTCCACTACCTTCAAACTAGGAAATTCAATAATAGATACCATTGGAACCCAGAACTTCTTGGCAGAAACTTCTTCAAGGACATCTTCTTCTATACTATTAAACACCAACAAATTGATCCTGATGCCCTCTTTTGTGTTATGTCGCCTTTTAGGTCTAGATAGACATATCTCTAATTGTCATTTCTGCACTGCTAAATTCTCCATCTATATGGGAATAAATAGGAAATACCCAGAACCATTATACATAACATTCTGGAGACATTTACTGTGCCATGACCTGGGCATAACTACCAGGCCAAACACTGTTTTGTTATGGTGGGTGCACTACTAGCTTATTTGGCAGCTTTGACTGTCAATAACAGAGTTCATTTGTACCCAACCTTCTTTTCTTTCCTAATGCATACCATGCCCAAAGATGTCCTAAAAATAATTGATTCATCTCATACCCAACTGGAACCCACTGCTCAAAATCCACGCATGCCAGTTTGCTCCCTGGAAGAACACGCATTGCGTGCCATTTTTCGACCAGTGGTACACAAATGTATTTGGAAATATGTGGCATTCATCAATTGGAAGGCCAGATATGACCTGTACAGATTCTTTAAAAAACATCACAGGCCACCTGTATATTTTCCAAAGGAATATGTTTATTCTTTTTGTAACAGGACCCATGGAGCTGCTACCAGGGAATGCAGAAGATGGGACTGATTAATATCCTTATTTCTGCAGCCACATCACTTTGTTTCACTATTTTCATCATTACCTTTTTCATTCTTGCCCTACACTTCTATCCTAGATGTCCTCGTCACCAGTATGTCAAACTCTGATGATTTTAACTCTGTGTATCTTACCCTTGCTAAGGCAACAATAGCATCATGTGCTATCAGTCTCGCTGCATATTTCTTATACTTAATTTCACATCAACAATACTACTATTCTTACTTTATTTTCACACCTTTCCCCATGCCTCCAACCCCCATGCACCAGGATTACTTGTTGCCCATCCTCAGTAAGACTAATTGGACACCACTGCTGAACAATGGAGATGGGATAGGTACCATATTGCAGCATTTCCACCAACATGGATGGGGTCACCTACCTTCTACTATCAACATATCAACAGCTGACAGGATCACATCACTTCCCATTGACCTGTGCTGTAGTTTCTTCCGCAGGTACCCTAAAGGACTCCAGATTGGGACGTTGGATTGACTCCCATGACATCGTCATCTGCCTGAACAACACTCCTACATTGGGACATCAGCTGGACATCAGCTCACATACTGACGTTCACCTTAATGAACAGGCTACTTCTCTTATGGATGAGACTCTCACCATCTTTGGCAGCCCATACCACCTGATAATACCATGTGGCCTCCTAACCACCTTTGAGATAAGAATTATTATATACTTCACCATCATTTCCCCTGGTCCATGAGGAATTTTCTCCAATGCCATTTTAATATACGCACCACTCCCCACCCACCTTCTTCAGGGTTTTTGGCCATCATACTGGCATCTCACTGGTGTGCATCTGTTTCTGCTATCCATTTCCACCTCACCTGGAATCATAAGACTCCTTGCTATTACTTTGGACATTTTTCATCTTACTCCCAATGTTATACAGGTCATTACCACCCACTCTTGTTTGAGAAGACATTTTTGAAATCTGTGCATAATGCTCTTTGAGCATGGCTGATAAACGAATAACCCTTATTAATTCTACCACTCTCTTACAATTGTGGAACAAAAAAATTTAAGTGTGCTGTGAATGTAAACATTTATTTTTGAGGTATGCATTAACAAAAAGATTTAGGTGTGCTGTGAATGTGATTGTTTTGATGTGAACATTTATTTTGAAGTATGTATTTTTTCTGAATAACATTTGACTCTCCTTCACCCCACTAGGCAACCGGGGTGGTTTGAAGAATCGGGGTGGACTGTTACGAGTATTATGTTTGCTGTGAATTAAACATATTGAAAGTGTATAAAAATATGATACATTGTAAAACCTATATAAAAACAATATTGTGTGCACTTCAAGCCCTATGAAGTAAACAAATACCATATGGTGACTGATATGCAAATCAGCCAACACCCAGCTGGTGCTGATATGCTAATCAGTCAAACCTCAGCTGGTACCAATATGCAGATCTGCTAACCCTAAGCTGGTGCTGATAAACAGACCTGCTATGAATATTTAAACTCCACTAGCCAGGAGACCAACGCCACTTCCTTCCGACCAGCAACATGCATCACGCTGATCGGGAGCATCCCAGACAAGGTGGACTGGACACTCCGCCCGTCCCGACGGATTCCCTGGGCGTCCTGGAGGTGTATCGAGACTGGGAACTAGCTAGGACTGGTTCGGAGCCAGCTGCAGGAGGACTAAGATTCACATCACAAGGTGAGCACAGCTTGGGGAAGGCTGAGGCACTATCGGGAATTAGGTTGTAACCCCCCCCTCCCCCCGCCCCAATGAGGTGTGTGTATGAGCAACTTAGTTCCTGCCTAAGTTAATTCATTTAGCGCCTGATGGATGGTCAATTTGATACCATTGCCTGCTCGAAACAGGAACTATAATCCCAGCATTTGGAAAGTGGAGGCAGGAGGACCATAAATTCAGGGCCAGCCTGGACTGCGTAGTATGACCCTTTCTATCTATCTAGCTAGCTAGCTAGCCAAATAAATAAATTTAAAAGGAGAAAAAGGAAATAAATTTTTAAAAAAGCATAACAAATTTAACCTAAGTTTTATATTACATGAGATCCTTCAGAAATGAAGCCCCAATAAGCCAGGGTAGCCTGTGTTTTTATGGACAGTCATGCAGAAGTATGATTAGAGAACAAAAAGATATGATCTAATGTTAATACATGGGGGAACTCAGCGTGGACTGTTTGTTTAGATTCTTCTGTTTGTCTTTGTGTCTCTGTTACTATCCTCCAGAAATAGGGAGGTCCTCTCTGGAATGAAGATCTTGTAACTCCTTTAGAGGAAGATCAGAGATTCTTTTATGAACTTTAGGGGAGAATGACAGGAGAAAGAGAAACTTTCCTGTTTCTGCTGTTTTCTCACAGAATAAAGTGTCAGATTACGGAGTAATGTTACATGCCAGTGTGAAATGTGGGCCAGTGTGGACAGTCCTTGCCTTCACAGGCTATAGAATTGGCTCGTGAGGCAGCTGATTGATTTGTGAGGCAAGGCTAGTATAAAAGTAGGATTTATTAGGGAGAAAGGAAAGGCTATAGCTACAGCAGTGTACCGGGGCCCAAAAACCAGTGACTCCCTGCTCAGGTGAAGGCTGGGGCTTTCTGTGGATGCTTTAACTCTGGGTTAGGGTATCTATTAGGAGAGTTTTTTTTCTATTGGCTGTGGATTTGCCCACACAGGCTCTCTTAGATGAGCTGGTCTGTTTGCCCCTTATTGGGGGGTGGGGAGGAACAACCTTGAGAGCATTTTTTTTAATCAACCCCATTGCAGATTTATGAGACCCTGTATCTACTCCTCAGGGTGCAGGAATGCAGCTGTACAGCTCCTTCTCAGTGTGCAGGGCTCATAGTGCTCTCCATGGGGGATGGGATACGCACTCATTTGTCCTCTAGGTTCCCAGACCCAACAGTAGCATGCCCTGAACCCAGTCATTTCTCCAGATCACTTCATGTATTTCCTTATCTCACGCAAGCAGCATTATCTTCTGTGTGAAAGACTATAATGAAAAAAGTGTCATGTGAATAGTGGATTAATATGGCATCTAGTAAGTAATTTCAATGCTCAAATACCATATAACTTAAATAATACTTCTCTCCCCTGTTAAAAAGAAAAAGTAGCACATTCCACAATCTTTATTTAATGTGACAATACATATCATAGTTTCTCCTTCTTTGGGAAGGGACGCCCACTGTACACTCACAATAAGTTCACTTGATTACCCATCAACCTATTTTGAAACTTTACCAAGCCCTGGTACCTGAGAAGTGCCTTGGGCTGGAGAGATAAATGAGCACAGTTTCTGAGCAAACCCAACCAGCCAAGAGGAAGTGACCAACTATCAAATGTGCATTCCATCCTCTGTTGATTGGGCTATTTTCTGGCTATTCTTATGTAGCTGGCTGCTTTTTTTTTTTTTTTTTTTTTTGGTAGGGGTTCTATACTGGGGATTGAACTCAGTGACTATGCTCGTGCTCTACCATTTAAGCCATGACCCCAAGTCCTTTTGTTTTGTTGTTGTTGCTTTTAGTTTGTTTTTCAGATAGAGTCTCCTACTTTTGCCCCAGCTGGTCACAGACCACAATCTTCCTACCTCTACCTCCTGAGTAGCTGGGATTAGTAGGCATGAACCACCTGGACTGTACTTGGATTTTTCATAGATGCACCAGGCTTGTGAGAAGGAGCCATGATCATTGAGAAGGAGCCATGATCATTGCAGCCTGTTCCATCCCTCCTTCCTGCTCAGCCCTTCTCTATTCTGGAAAGGATTCTTAGCACTTGAGCAACCTGAAGAGATTTGAAAACAAAGGATATTGTTAAGAACCAGTTAATGGCCACTAGCCTAGAAAGATACTTTATTAGCAAATAAGTCCTTTTGAGACTTACTCTGAGGACTCCTAACCTTCGCTTGTTCCTGCTTTAAGAATTCTTTAAGGAATGGAGCTGAATGCTCTTCTTGAGGTCAAAGAAACTGGGCTGTGTTTTACAAACTGGCTTTCTTTCTTGTTCAATAATTGGATGCCTGTGAGAGCTATGACACTGAGATACTTTGGCTTGTGTCGTGATTGAGACGCTAAGTGTATTGGACTGCTGGAAAAATTTATACTTGCACCCAGAGTTGATGTGGGATCTAGGAGATAAAGTGGTCCTTGATTCTTAATTGAAGACATTATACACTGCATGTTGAGGATGGAGTCTCTCATTCCACTGTGTGAATAAGAGTCAGTTGTGAAAGGACCATTGAAAACCCAGCTCCAGAAGCACATACCAAATCTGCTTAACAATGCTTGTTGTGGTTGTGCACAGGGACCCTTCAATTTCCAAAGTAAAGGTGGTCTGGGGATGTTGATTATTCTTAAGATTGTCAAACCACTGAGCAGAACCTGTCCCACCTCCCCACCCCCTGGCCAGTTTAAAATCAGTATGAGTGCTGTGTAATCTAACCAACAGGATTGATGGAGGTCAGGCATTAAGGGCTAAAATGGATTAAACAAAAGACATTCCACTTGTAACAAGAAGGAAAAACTTCAAAGGTGGGATTTGTTCTTGTTATGACAAAGGAAGTGGATTTACAAATGCCTTGAGGCAAACCCCTTTGTGACTTTCAATTTGCTCTCCTCTGTATGGAGATCTTTTTTCTCCTTCTTCTTCTTTTCTCCTGTCTCCCACCCCACTCTCAGCTCCTAGTGTCCTCCCTAGGTTAAGAATTTCAGGTTTAGAGGATCTGATTGAAAATGCTTTTTCTAGTTTGTTTTTTTAAAGACCAGGACAACAGGCATCACCCCCAACAAATGATCAAATTACATTACCAGGTCTCATCATTCAGAAGTGTAGCAGTAACGATCTATGAGCAAGGGAGGGGGAGGGCTATTTAGATCCCTCCATCAGGGAGAGTGGAACACATATCCAGGTGCTTGCATTTGGCCTGAAAATTCCAAAGAGAGAAATGGAATATCCTAACATATTGAAAATAACTCCTTTCCATTAACGCACCTCACTACACAGACTTACAGGGTCAGGATTTGACACATTGGGGTTATTTTCAATACCCTGATGCAATGTTATAAAATAACTTCTGTTACACTAAAGCTGGTAAACATAACTCGTCTTCTAGAATTGAAAGCATTTTGTAGTTTTGGGTGATATGTGTATTCATATATTCATACGCAAACATAAATAATCTATATATCAGCTATCACAGTCAAAATATCCTTAAAATACTGCAGTTCTCTGAGGCGGAAATGGAAACAGAGCTGGTATGTAATTGTGGCACCAGAGCTCCTCAAACTTGAGGGCTGTACAAACCCTTTTAAAAAGAAGAGGAAAAAAGCCCACCTCTTACTGCTCTCCAGATGTTGACTTCAATTATGTCTAAAATAATATTACTTGAATATGTGTGCATATAAAACTAGTAATGAACTCCTTATATTATAGCTTTTATTCAATTATAAAACCAAAGTTTAAAAAAACAAAGTTAATGCATTAATTACAAACAAATTGCAAAACCAATAAAATTCAAATTAACAACATTAAATTAATGTGGCACAACATGTTTTATTGTGATTGAATCACCAATTACAACATGAACAAAGTGCTGGCAGTCCCTCTCACATTCTTCTCAGGTGGACATGCCAACTGAGAAGCCTTTTTCAAATCAAATACCATAAATCATTTGACCCTGTGTATTATTATTTTCTTTGAATAATTGTCATCATGATAATCTTTTCAACTGTAAAGTATACCATTTCATTTTTCCAATGCAGTTGTAAAAAACCTGTGTATTGAATCTGCCTATGATCTCACTCCTTCATGTGGAACAGAGAAAGAACTTCAAGTTCCAGTAAACTGCCACCAACCATGGGCCTTGGTGCTGAAATCAGGCAGCAGGGCTGTAATATGTTGTGACCCAGTGGATTCAGATTGTGATTATATTACTTTTTTTAAAAGTCTGTCATCTATATAAAAATAAAAAGAAATAGATGTTTGTAGAGAACATGTCCTTAAATCATTTTGTTTTGTGGTAGTGGGGATTTAACCCCATATCCAGTGCCAAGTTCTCATCACTTGAGCCATACCCCAACTGTGCTTGCATCTCTATTTGAGAGCTATAAATAAGTTTTAGAAGTAAGCAGTGTATGTCCCCCAAAATTTATTCTCTTGCTACAGGATTGAGCATCTGAGTTAAAGAACAAAGATAATTCTTCCTTTATTTGAGGCAAGAGTTCAGGTCCCAATCAAAAAACTTTTTCATTAACTAGCTAATTAGTGTTCCTAGCTAATAAACCAGTCAGCAAGCCAGCTAATAGATAAGATGCCTCTCCATAAGGAGCTTGCTACTTGGGATAGATGGACAGAGACACACACACACAAATACTTAAGTGTTCAAAGTTTGCTCATAAAACATCCATATTTCTTAATTTACACACAAAAGGTTTAAATTAGACTTTCAAAACATTTGTCATTTACATTCGAATACTTCACAAAACTTCAATCATATTACATCCTTCTGTGTGGTGAAAAATGCCATTTCTGTATGATGCCTCAGTTGTTTGAAATGAGGAAACTTGATAGCATTCAGGTTTTGATATTCTAGAAAGACGCCTGCCATTAGAATGACTGTGAAAGCTCTGACCATCACAACCAAGCAAAGCCTGAGATATCTTACAATTGAATTGGGTATTAATATATTTTTGTCAAAGTTGTGTGAGTGTTAGAAATAAAAAGTATATAGATAAATGCACACTTCAGATACATTTCAACATCTTTAAATCAGAAAGAAATTTACATACAATGAAAAACCAAAAATATGTAGAATCCAATCTTGTGACTTTCCTGTGCGTGGATGAGGTGTTCAGACTCAGTGATAATAGGAGAATTATAGACTAATGTTTAACTCGACTCCAAGGCAATGGACTATTTGAGATCATTCCTCCTGTGGGTGTTTAAATATAATTTTTCTAAAGCAGGAGCAGTGTGTTCTATTGGGATTGCTGGCAAAAATCCAGTCTCTGTCTGCCTGGACCATCTGTCCATCAAGCAATCTCCATCCTCAGCCTAGCTAGAGATAATTCAAGTCTTTCAACTCTGAAAGACTCAGAATTAAGTGCAGAAGGAGGCTTAAACTTGCAATTTCAGTAAAAATAAATCTGTACATATTTGGTATTTTAGCTTAGAGTATTTAGGAGAATTTGTCCCATTAGAATATGTGATTAGTTTATCATTCCAGTAAGAAAATGTGTGATTTGGTAATTGATTTAGACTTGTGATTTTAAGATGAACTCTAACAAAGGTTATAAATAGCATTGGACTGAGTAAGAGAACTTAGAATCACCACATATGTATTTTTGAGGTAATATCTTTTTATGTAGCCCAGGCTAGCCTCAAGCTCATGATCCTTCTGTCTCAGCCCCTGAGTGCTGGGATTATAGGCATGCTCCACTGTTCCTGGTATAAATTTAATTTCTTGAATTTATATGAATAATTTGAGAACTTTGAAAAGTTCGATCGGTTAGACCAATTTATCAAATTAGCTAAACAGATAAATAAAATAATAAAAATTGTAAGCCAAACATAAAAGCTATAGAAGAACTAGGTTTTTGAATTTATAATTTTAACATAACAAACAGCACAGTTTTAAAACTGAAGTTAACTGACTAGAATCTTCTGCACCAGATAAAATCTTCATAGGCAACAAGAAATTCACAACTGATACAATACTTCTTTTATTGTTTCACATGAAAATATATGAACAATTGTAACCTTCTTAATCAGCTCTGCAAATGAAGTATAAACCGAGTTTAATTTTTATGATGACGTGGTTGACAAAAGAATGTTTGTAATCTATGTCAAAAAATAAGACTACTGCCTGTTACATCCACTACTGCCATCACTGTCACTGTTTACATCCTCTTGGGATTATCAGGGCAATAATGTTCATCTTGCCAAATCTTATACAATATGGCTGCCCTCTGGATGCATGCCTGTATCATGGCATGGGTAAGTCTGAAGCTCTACTCATAGTAACAAGCTCTTACTAGCAATGTACCCCATACCCTCTCCTTCCTACCTTTTTTTACAATCCCTCTCACCCCATCTCTATCCCAACCTATATCCCATTTTTAGCAGTAGAGATATCACTGTTATGGAACTCTCCAACAAACTAAGGAATTGAATGGGTAATAGCTACTGCTATGGAATGAACAGTACTGTTTCCCCAACACACCCCACCCAAACTTTTATGTTGAAGTCCTACTCCTCAATGTGATAGCATTTTGAGACGGGGCTTTGGAGATAATTGTGGCTAGATGAAGTCATAGGGTAGAGCTCTTGTCATTGGATTAGTGCCTTTATTAGAAAAAACATGGAGAGTTTGCTTCCTTTCTCACTCCGCAGTGTGAAGACAACCAGAAGCCAGGCATCTTCAAGTCAGGAAGAATCCTCACCAGGGACCTAAATTGGTCTGTGTCTTGATCTTGGCCCTCCCAGCTGCCAGAACTGTAAGAGACAAATTCCTGTTGTGTAAACTACCCAGTCTATGGTATTTTGATATAGTAACCTATGACAGATAGGCTTAAGGAATAGTGCTTGATTAATAAAGATACAAATGTAAGATATCAATTGCAACCAAGATTGTTCCTTCTAGTCAGCAATTTCAATAACTGCCTAAAGGAGTCAGAAAATGAAGATACTACATACTTTTTTCTAAACCTACTCCTGTAGGAGGTGACCAATCAGATAATTCAATAATAACTAAAAGATCTTTCCCAGATTAGACAAAAGAAAACTCTCAAAATGGCTAATTGGACCATGCATGCCTCCCTGTATCCCTGTATCCTTGCTCATGTATTTTGGCCTTCTCACCATGGACAAGTTAGCCTGTAAATTAACTCCCGGTACCTTAACAACTGGGATTAGCCATGCCTAGCAACTTGCTTTGGCAAATGCAGTGTTGGTTGATAGGCTAGAAGCAGAGGGTGAAGTGGGCTTGTGTGTTGGGTTTGCTCTCTGCTGCAATTCTGCCATTACTATGGGGCACATGGAGACTAGCCTTAGGTGGGACAAGAGCTGAGTCACCCAGTGCTACCAGCCTGGATCAGCCTGAAACCATCCTCATTCCACATAGGTGAGTGAATCCCTCTAAGGTCAGCAGAGCTACCTAGCTGATCTCAAATGGTACAGTTGCATGGGCTGTCAACATGAACTGACACAGACTGCAAATAGGGAAGCTGTGTGCTCTTATCTGGTCATTTCCACTAGAAGAAGCAATGGGTGATATTTCTTGGCATGCCCTGATCGAAACACTTTCACAAAGAGGGTTGGAATGGGACTGGAAGCATGGATCAAGTGGTTGAGCACCTGCCAAGCAAGTGTGAGGACCTGAGTTCAAACTCTAATACCTCAAAAAAAAAAAAAAAGTATCACTAAATCACCAGGAGGGTTGTTGCTGGTGTTAAACAACTATGAAAACAATATCTGCGGTTTGACTTGCAAAAATGGCATCTTGGTTATTTGTCAAACCCAATAATGATGGTTTTCATCAACAGTATTTAAAAGTCCCCTTTCCATGATGATAGTCCTGTTTCTGTTCTACCTGAGACATTTTCAACATAAGCTAATTATCATTCTGGCAGGAACATGGCCCTGTTAACCCTCTGTACCTTGACAAACAAATGTGTCCTCAGATCTTTATCATAGGACCTGTGAGACCATAGTAAGGCTGTGTCTTCCAGGGGCTGGCAGAAAGACTCATCCCAACAGTGTGTTACTTCTGAGAAGGGATTTTTGTTATGTAAATTTGACCTAACCAAATCCAGAACAGTGTCTGATGAGTGCTCTTCTCCTGCCCCAGATAGGAGAGAGATTTTTGGATCCAGTAATGAAAGAAGTTCTGTGAATCTAAGCCTTTTTTCTGAAGAAACAACCCTAAGGAGTTAATGTCACTAGAGCTCCATTGCTTAGCAAAAAAAAAAAAAAAGAGTCTACACCAAAGGCAGGTTATTTTTATTAGAAAATGAAACCATGACATTGTACAGTTCTAAGGCTACTAAATTTGTATTTAATTATCCAGGTAATGTAATTATACAATCAGTTCTAATCTGATATCAAGAGGAAAAGTTCTTGGGTTTTTTTCCCACAAGGTTTCATGAAAAGGCCATACAATTAATATAACACACTTAATTACTGACATGTAATGCAAGAATATATCCTCATCCAAGCATGTACACTATGTTAGCTGCTTAGATCTTTGCCATTACTAATGTATTGAGTGCTTCTTATCTTATAACGACCTGTGGTAATAATTAGGTATTATTTGATAGAACAAAGACCTTAGCTCTGTATTCCTCAGTTTGATACATTATCCCCACAGGACCACTGAGAAGCAATGAGGATTCAGGAGAGAATCTAGATTCTCTTAAATTCTCATAAGAAATTTTTTAAACATCTATCCAAATCATGAAAATCTTCTTGAGGAGCACACTTGCAAACAATTTATAAGTGTCACTAAGATAAAATTCTTATAACTTTTTTTGGGTCTGGAGACCTAAGGCAGATGAGTGAGTATCCCATCGCCCCCATGTGATTCCTGCATCCTGAGAAGGAATTATAAACCTGCATTCCTGCTTCCTCAGAAGGAGCTGTAAACCTGCATTCCTGCACCCTAAAGAGGAGATTCAGGGTCTCTAGATCTGCCACAGGGCTGATGAGCAAAATGCTCTCAAAATTGTTTCCCCTCGCCCAATAAGGGGCAAACAGACCAGTTCATCTAAGAAAGCCTGCGAATCCATGGCCAATGGAAAAAGCCCACCTAACCCTTACCCAAACCCACAGTTAAAATGTCCATAAAAATCCCAGCCTTCACCTGAGCAGTGAGCTACTGGTTTCCAGGCTCTGCTGCACTTCTCTAGCTGTAGCCTTTCCTTTCTCTCTAATAAATCCCACTTCATATACCAGCTTTCGCTCATCAATCAGCTGCCTCACGAGCCAGTGCTCTGGCTTGTAAAGGCAAAGACCCTTGACACCAGCCCGAAACACCTCAAACCGGCACATAACATTTTTGGCAACCACAAAGGGATTTTTCTTCTGCACCAAGGTCGGTATGACTTGAGTGCCAAACCAACAGGGACATGCCTAACGTAGGACCATGAGTGTCTGGCACCCTGCTGGATGCTCCTGCTGGGAACCCTCTGCTGAGGACTAGCCAAGAGCAGACTTCCTTGCACTGATTGCCCTGTCTCTCTCTCTGTTCCTGTCTTCCTGAGGGACTTTCCTGTCATGGTATCAAACCAACATCTCCCAGCCAATTTTGGCCTCATGGAGATTCCGGCTCTGGGGATGCTTTTGCTCCCCTGCTGTGGGCTGAGACTGAGCCCGGGGTTTATTCAGGTATGCCTTATGCTACATTGGAGGACACCAGATTGGTTGTGGCACCTGACAATTTTCTTTTTTTTGTCATTTTCCCATCTGTCAAATACTCCTTCTGCCTGAGACAGTGACCTGAGAGTGGAGATTTTGTATTGCTGGCAGTGTTCCAGTACAACCTAGTGGGAGCGACCTGCAAGCACACTTAATCATTTATCCCTCAGGCGTGTGTCTTTGCCTCCAGGCTCTGCCTTCCCTGGTCCCAAGCCTTGTCCTTCATCGCTATCTGCTTTCCCCTCCCTGGGCTTACTGGGACCCCAGCCTCCCATGGAAAACTCATATCATGGTACCTTATGACTTTATTAAGTTATTTCCAAACCTAGTTTGTCAGGTCCATTGGTCCAAAGCAGCTTTAAATCAGCTGCTAGGTGCCGGTGGAGGCAAAGGCACCTACAGAAAACTGCAGTAGTGCCACATATGCCCTCACTCTGCCCCCACAAGGGGAGGAGGGAGCCCCTGGGCACAGTGGTAACAGCTGCCATAGCTAAGAGAATCCATAGAAAGGATTACACATCCAAAGCTGCCAGCCATACATGGCAGTGGCTGCGACCTGCCACCACTCCCCCTAAAAGGGATGAGAGGAAAAATAAATGCACACAGGCACGTGTACATGGTGGGAGGAGGGGTCGTGGGCTGCAGGTTTGGGCCCCTGCAGACAGAATTGCTTGTCCTGGGAATAGGGGAGGGTGGCTGCACTTTGAGCAGGCCCCGTTCCCAGCCCCACCTCACACAAGGGGCCTGATTGACCCAGTCCTTGGAAGCCAATTGTTATCTCAAGGTTAGGTCCCATAAAGCACTAATGTAACCTTCCAGGAACAGCAAAATGGGCATTGTTATGGTCTCTAAACTTCTCATTTAAAATTTCCTGTACTTTTGATCTCACATAAAAAATTTTCCCTCCAAAGATTAGCATTAGCCATCCTTTGTGGTACTGTGATTGCCCTGGGACCCCCTTTGAATACACTTCTCTAACCTTACAGCATCCCTTTAAAGAGGCTGCCTGCTTCTGGCTAAAAGTCAGGATCCTAGAGTTTTCCTTTCACTGTGCTGGTCAGGTGGCCTAATCTGATGCAGTCACTTTCTCCAGTCCTGGTCACAGATGGTGAAGACAGTCATGAGACAGAGATGCCTGCTCTTGTTAGGTCAATTCCCAGTCAGAATGCTGACAAGAGGGAAACTGACCCAGTCCTTTGTTGTTATGTTGTTGTTCTTATAGATGGGACCAGCCCCCTCCTGTCTTCCAGCCTCAGTACCCAAGAGGTCTCCACTGGCCTGTCTACTGAAATGTTGGAAAGACCATGACCCTAATCTCAAGAAAAAAAACCCTCAACTTTCTTTGTACTGAGGCTTGGCCTCAGTATCCCTTAGGTGACCAAGAGAAGTGGACTTCACAGGGTTCTTTAAATTACAATACCATACTCCAATTAGACTTTTTCTATAAAAGGGAAAAAAAGTGGACTGAGCTTCCCTATATACAGCTTTTCTTTTATCTCAGAGATCACCCAGAATGGCTCCATAATTACTATCTAGATATTCAAACACTGGCCATTCTTTGTAAGCCACAGGATAAACATGAGGAAGGAGGACCAGAAAAGCCCCTTACCAATGACAAGTTCCCCATCCCTACTTCCCCACCCTCTGCCCTACCTTCTAAGCCACCCCAATATTCAGAACCTCCTAATGAATGCTTCCCCTTTCAACAGGCAATGGTAGAAAGAAGGCAAGTCTATGTTGCCTTCCAGTTATCAGATCTAAGGGAGATTAAAAAAGATCTGGATGGCTATACTGATGCCCCAGAACAATACATCCAAGCCTTTATCTCTGTTGGATCTGGAGACCTAAGGCAGATGAGTGAGTAACCCATCTCTGCATGGAGAGCACTGTGATTCCTGCATCCTGAGAAGGAGTTGTAAACCTGCATTACTGCACACTGAAGAGGAGCTGCAGGGTCTCTAGATCTGCCACAGGGCTGATGAGCAAAATGCTCTGAAGAATGTTTCCCCTCCAACAACTAGAGAAAAGGGTAGATCAAAAAGAATTAACCTAGAAGGTAACACCCACGCACAGCAAATCAATG